ACCTTATTTCCTTACTTGAAGAATGATATTCTGATGGCTAAAGAGACTGTCACAAACACAGAAATATCCTATTCCCAGAAAAACATATGACAAAGTCTCCTGTGATAGCATTTAGGGAGTAACAGAGAAGTGTGTGGGCTGAATGAGAGTAATTAGGTGAATGGGGAGCTGATTACATCCAAAAAGGGAGGATTAATTGATTGTCATTAACTTGCAATAAGGTCTGTAGGAATTTTCCATAAGGTTCTATTTTCAGTCCTGTCCAACTCAACAATTTTATCAATTACCTGGAAGAAGTGTAGGAACTTGCTTACTAAATTTGCAGACAACACAAAGTTAGAAAAGAATAAAGATTGGTAATTCACTGGATGACAGAATCAAGTTCCAAAAATGTCTATTATTTAGGATGATGGGTTGACATTTATTAAGGAGAAAGATAAAGTCCTGCATTTAATTAGGAAAAAATTGTGATGAGGGGAGCTGAACTGAGAGCAACTGCAAAAAATAGTAGAAAAGTTTCGGGTTTTAATTGACCATAAACATGATGCAATCCAGAAATAGTCAACACAATCTCTGTTGGTACTGAGAAGGAGAGGAGAGGGAAAGAGAGAGAGAGAAGGAAAATACAAGGCTAATAAAAGTAACATATCTATCCTGCATGGTCTTACACTGGATTTAGGAAATCACATTTTAAGAAAGATACTGACAAACTGTTGTTTGCTTACTGGATAGAAGAGCCTTGGTAATGAAAATTCATGGACCCATACAATGTGAAAGCAAAAGAGGTCACTTTCTGTAAAATAGAAGGGATAAGGATTGCAAACTTTATTGGACAATTATTGTGGGTATTAATTAATTAATTTTCAAAACTACATAATGAATCACTTATCATTACTGATATGACACTGAGAACACAAAGCCCACATATCTGGATTTAGATGGAGGAGACTGGACTCCAGAACCTTGTAGCCACTATACCACATCATTTCTCAAATGTTTGAAGAGTTGCTATGTGGTTGAAAAATTAGGTTTGTACTGTGGAATGCAGTTATCAACAGAAGGGCAGACTAAGGTTATACCTCAAAGCAGAGAATTTTTCTGGAAGACTGAAAGACGATACATCTATTTTCTGGTACAAAGTTAAGATGAGCTCAGAGGCAATATCTGATTGTAAGATTCTAATATTCTGGAATGTGATTTGATGTTACATGATTTTACTATGAACACAAAACAAAAACCATAAAAGAATTAAATTAAATCAATTAATGACTATTTAAATGATGTCGTCTTGAGCACAAGTTTAGAAAATGCTCCACTCCACATCCCGTTTTCGTAAGATGTCTTCACTGTGAATCTATAGTTACCTTCGATTCGTGAGCACCAAACTTTGCCAAAGTTATATAAACTTTTGTTTCTTTATCTTTGTACTACATCTAGAATAGTAGCAATATTATTTCATATGCATTCTTCTACCAAAGGAGGTTATATTATAGAAATAACCAATGTCACTATAAAGTCCTTACATTTAAGGACTCCTATTAGTTACTGGGTATATTGAAATCAATGTTGGAATTGGTCTAGTTATACTGAGAGAGTCAGATCTCTATCAGATGCAAGTTTGATTACTGGAGCACTTCCCCTTATTTATTCTGCCTTAATTCTGACACTTAAAAACCAAGGCAAGGCTCTGTGGGTCCCATGTATAATTGGAGCTATTGGGAGGTGGAGATAGGAAGAGCACCGTAGGAGGCCATACAGGCAAAAAGCGTGAGACCCTATCTAAAAAATAACTAAAGCAAAAAGTCTGGGGGCATGTGTCAAGTGGTAGAATGCCTGCCTAGCAAGTGTGAGGCAATGAGTTCAAATTCTAGTACCAGCAAATACAAGAAGGATGGCAATATTTCCTTCACAAAATTATTGTAATAAATGTAATAATGCCTGGAAAAGCTCACACCATACTGTACAGATTCTCAATAACAATTTAGGTTTACAATGAAATATTTTTGCAAGAACAACTGTGTGTAATAAGGAATTTGCCTGATCTGGTTCCAGGGGGATTATAAATGTGAAATATTTTGAATTTCTTGAGAGATTAGAATGCCTTTGTTATCCATGGTGGGCCACTCAGGCCCTACCTATTAATTTAGGTTATGATTACCATAAATGGAATCACTCATGGTGGGGGCTTTACTTAGTTTATGTGAATGAGTGCCTCACGATGGGAGCTGGCCAGCCAGGAAGCCCAATCATTGAGCAGAGGGCTGGGACTTTTGAATGCAACTTCTGGGAAGGTAAGGAAGGATGAGATTGTGTTCACCCACATGGTCAATTATTCAATCAACCATGCCTATGTAATAAAGCCCCAATAAAGACACTGGGCAAGATAGCTCTCTGAGCTTTCCTAGTGTCACACACCGCTGAGTCCAGAGGGCACTGTATTCCTGAGAAGGAAATCCCTTCACTGTGGGAGCCTCCCAGGTCTTGAACTTTGTAGTTCTCGCTGTGGCTCATTCTAATTTGTATTTTTTTCGGCTATAATAAAGCTATCATCACAAGTATTGTGCTTTCTTGAATTCTGTGAATTCTAGCAAATTATCAAACCTGAGGGGATCGGTGGGGGAACTCCAAATTTATAACCAGCTTGTTAGAAGTGATGACAGCCCTGGTGTGGCCACACTTGTGGTTATTCTTCACTAGAAAAAACCTGTGCCTCCCTGAGCACATAACCTTCAGTGATCTTGTAAAGTAGCAGCCCAGGGTAGATGTGCTCCAGACTTCCCTGTCTCTGCACTCACTTCATGAGTGATAGGGAGCAGCACATTATCAGGTGCCAGGTTTTCGCAATCATTTTTTTCTGAAGACAGAAGCAGCTTGGAGCCTGGGTTAGGTGGTTTTTCAGGATGCTAGTCTACCTATCTTCTCAGCTTTGCTGACTTACTGAATAAATCTTTTTCATTGTCCCACCAGCTTGGTCCCATTCATCGAGCCATTTTGGAGCAGCTGTGAGTCAATGAATTTGGGTTCAGTAACACTGGGAATCTCCAAATTTGTGGTTAATGGCTAAAGTGAGGGCAGTTTTGGGGAGAAATTAACCTCTGAAGTATGAAACTCTGGGGTAAGTTGCTTAAACACACATGTGAACCATCAGAAGTTTGTAAGAGGCAAACTGGTAATAATATTTGACTCTGTTCTTTTGGTATATGTCAAATGTGATTTGACTGAAGAAAACTTTTTAAACCAACTAACTTCATGGAGTAATATGAAGTTAAGGAAACATGTTCAATACCTGAAGTGTTTTAGATACAGAGAGAGGTGAGACTTTTCCCAGTTATTTTATAAAATCATGCCAGTGCCTTTTCTCTTGTTTATATAAAGACAATCTGATCACCAGACATCAGCAACTTGCTAAGGTTTACCCGGCTAGTTCTGGCAGTGTGTGGACATGAGTTTCTTTGAGAATTGCAACCATATTTTCCACAAGTCTATGTTGTACAGGACTTGGCACATAGGAAATATCCAATATATGTTTTTATTTAACTTCCTCTCATAATGAAGAAAAAGGCATCAATCAACATTAGTAGGTTTCTTTCCTAGAACTTTGCCAGACCTACCATATTCATCACTCTTAGTTTTATTGCTTCCTTGCACCCTGAAAACTTTGTAAGGGTTTTGGCAGTATTTATTTTGCTTGCAGGATACCCCCCCCCCCAATGCTCAGTGTGGTGGTTCCTGGAATAGAGTGGTTCCTTTTTACCTTTTTTGGTGGTGATACTGGGATTTGAGCCCACGGTCTCATGCTTGCTAGGCAGGCACTCTTACCACTTGAGCTGTCCCCCTAGTCCTTTTTGTTTTAGTTATTTTTCAAATAGGGTTTCATGCTTTGACTCTGGCTCTGGACTCTGTGATCTTCTATTTATGCCTCCTGCTAGCTGGGATAGCAGGTGCATACCCCATGCCCAGCATTATTTGTTAAGATGGCGGTCTTGCTAACTTTTGCCTGACTGGTCTCAAACTGTCACCCTCTTGATCTCTGTCTCTAGAGTAGCTGGATTACAAACATGGGCCACTGTAGCTGGCCCTCAGTGGGTTCTTGATAAATAGTTTTTGAGTATAGTCTTAATGTTAGATGAGTTTTCATTCATAGACATTATTTTCTTCATAATGCAAAGGCAGGCAAATTGAATTTATTTTAAGAGAATACACACTAACATGCTCTCTCAGTGCATAACCACAAACATTTTTGAAAGTAGAGAAGTATAAGTCTGTGGTATTTCCCATAAAATAAATAAAAAGTAAATTAAAATAAAATTTAAGCTACAGTGACATGTTAGAACAGTGTTTTCAAAAATATGTCAATGGATTTAAAATATAGCCAAAGTCATTTAACTGTGACCGCTAGTCATTATTGTCATCCCATCTAATTTTTCACCCACACATGGAACTTAAGAGTAATACTTCAATATTTGCAACTGAATTTTTCAGATTCATTGTTTCTCTGTTCAAAACTTGTGCTAGGAAAATTTTCCCAGGTCATTTGTTATTCAACTCACGGTTTCTCTTGGGTTTCATAGACAAGATTTGTGGCAAATCAAGAGGAAAATAGATCATATAGGTACTTCATCCTCCTTCACACACACAGGTGCTAATTCTTCTACACATTGCTGTGCCAGCTATGAGGTATTATTGAATATGGGCTCATTAAAAGACCTAATGAGAATATGATGACCAGTTTGCTTTGAAATACACTTAAAAAAGACGGTAGACAGGGTCTCATGAGCAGTGACATTCTGTAATTACCTCTTCCTATCAAAAGAAAAACAATTCCTAGAAATTAATGAATACAGCAAGAGTCTATTTCCTATCTTAATTCTATCTTAATTGCAAAAGTGGATCAATTAAAAAAAGAGGTTACATGGGCAAAGCCCCTCTCCTAAGGCTTTGTCTCCCAGTTCCCAGCCATCAAATCAATATATATAAGTATAACATGAACCAATTTTTACCTTCTGAGATGAGATAAACCAACTCAACCAGCAGTGCCCCTGTGAAACAGGCAAATCCATGGTATAGTGTCAAACAATTCGTAGAAGTTCCTCTGATATTGCTTGGAGCAAATCTATATGCTATTACAGAGACTGAGAGAAAAAGAGGAGGTCAGAATTTAGAAAATTCTCCCCAGAACACTTTCATAGATACTGTTCAAATTAATGTTGAGCATGCATCAAAGAAAATTTGCTAATAAGATCAAAATTTGGGTTGGATTTTGTTAAGAGCACTGTAAGGATACTTTCTGATGCAATTTATAGTTATCTTCAAGGAATAAAATCTGGCAAAAATATACCCCTGTACAGCTACAAGAGGAATTTGATTGCTTGGCAGTTGAATGTTCTAATATATTTCACACCTATTTGAATATTTCTGATAAATTTCAGATTGAAGTAAGGCCTGTACTAGATAATATCATGACAATCTATCAGTGAGATCTATGATTCTGTGATTCCATGTAAATCATTAGGTTTCCTGTGGAAAACTTGAATTTATCATATAAAATTTGCATACAGTTAAAGTATGGGCTCTGGAGTTAAACAAGAATGCACTAAAATCTCATGACTGTCATTTACTATCTCTGTGACTTTTAGGTAAATTGACTAAACTTTCCAAGCCTTGCTGTCCTCTTCAGTGGAGTGGGAAAAAATAAATTACTCACTTGCAGAGGTTCTATGACACATTCCTGCTATCTTATAGGTAAGGGAGTTAGTGCAACACTGGCTTATAGGTATTTAGAAATATTTAGCTATTTTATTTGTTTATTTAAAAATAGGCTGTGTATCCTAGACTGGTCTTGAACTCAATTTGTAACCCAAACTGCCTTGGAGCTCTCAATCCTCCTGCCTCACCCTTCTGAGTATTGGGACTGCAGGTGTAGACGCCACACCTGACTTGATTCTTGCCAAATGCAATAGCTCCTACTTGTGCAAGGCACTGTGCAAAGTCCTTTATATGTGATACCCTATTTAAGGACACTGTACTTAGAGAGAGGCAATAGCTGTAGCATTGGGTCTCTGAAATGGTATCTCTTCCTCCCAAGTCATTGTTGGGGTACTAGAAATGATGGTGGAAACATGTTGAAAGAATACCATGGAAGAAATTAAAAAAAAATTTTTAGTTAGAAATAATCTTTTTTGAGATCAGTAATAGGTGAGAATAAGTACATGTGATTTTGTACATACCACATTAATAAAACCATATTAAAATATACATGACAATTTTAGGGTTACAAGTCAAAATATTTGATATTTATTATACTATGATATCTGGGAATTGCTTCAAAGTCACACAAGAGGGAAAAAGAGGTTATTAAAATGAGGGTCGAGATGAGGCATATTTGACCATGATTTGAAATGGTTAAAAATGGAAGATGGATACATCAGAGTTTATTAATTTCTCTCTATTGCATATATGTAGCAAAAATTATAAAGAAATATTTTAAATAACATTAACATCTTTGTTTTGAGCCGGTAAATCATTGGATATCTAATTTTCTTGTTACTCCTTAGTGCTTTGCAAATTTTTCAACAATAGGATCATAAGTAAATAAATATTGAAGCTCATTTCTAAAAGAGAGGATAATAAAAAGCAGATGTACTATAAAAACTAAACCTTTCATTTCCTTGTCTACAAGAAGAAAGAAAGGTTATTATCTCCTCCCTCCTTCTCAGGAATATTTCATCCTGGTTTACTTGTACTTTACTTCAGGGAGTTGCATTTGTCTAGCACACCTAATGAGCTTACTAATCCATAAGGAAAATGTATTAATGTCCCTTCCTGCATTAATACAACATATTTTGCATATTCTCCACATGGTTTTATTTTCAACCAATAAACATTTAGGGAAGTCACTAGTTGTGCTCTAGAAAATGTGCTGAGTGCTGGTGCTGGGCTAAGGGTGGGAACAGGTATCAGTTTATCTTTCCCAGATTTAAAGCTCTGGAAGGGCAGAGAGCAGAAATATGTACATTACTCAGAGCAATGCTCAACCAGGCTCTCAGCATCACAAATACTGATTGGAGGTGAGGATAATAACGGTGATAAATAAAACACCACAGAGAAGCGCTTCTAACAGTGGTGGCCAGGTAACACAGCTTTTTGGCGTAGTGTAAATCACCAGCCAGAGCCTGAGGCCAAATCTTCCAGTATTCTTAGGAAGGCCCACAGGAGAGTGTGAAGCTAACAGTGGAGATGCTTTGGGAAGAATTGATTCACAGTTATAGGAAGGATTTGGCTATGAACATTCCTCTCCATAAATACAAGGAGACAAACAATGGGCATAAAGAGTAAGTAGGCCTATTTCTTTCTCTGTGAAAAAGCAGAACTACAAGCCCATTATTACTCTGCTGGTTAATTATTAATCCTATGCTTTTCTCTTGCTAGAACTTCTGGTGCCCTGTATAATTCATGAACACACTTTGCCAGCTCTCTGCCTGCTGGTTAATCTCTCTTTAGTGTCATTTTAGTCGTTTTTGAAAGCTTCCAGTTCCCTTTTATAGGAGTTAGTTTTTCAAGTTTTCAAATCTCCATTTTTAGGCATGTACTAGTGTGTTCTGATCTTTTTCAACTTTAGTGATCATCAACTTGATTTTTTAGGCTTCAAGACACTTCTAGTAGCTCATGATAGTCTAGATGTTATTAGCAAGTCACTCACTGTTCTAAAATTCTCATTATACTCTGAAGACACAATAAAAAGTACTCCAAGTATAGGAGAAAGCCAGTCTTTCTGCCAATGAGAGCTAAAGTGTGCCTCCAGATAGTGGCTGGTTATCGATTGCAAGGATGCCACATCGCAGGATATGAAGAATCTACAAAAGATGGGGTCATAACCACCTTCCTAAGGCACCTGGTACTGGGGACTCATTGCTGGAACTCCTTTTTAGTCCAGTTGTTCTTAAACTATTAAGGTGTGTTTACTGCATTTGGTGAGGAGCTATTTTGAACAAGTGGAAAAGTACCACAAGCCCAGAAAATAGAACTTTTTCCTGTCTTCATTTTCAGACCATTATTCCATCCTTGTTCCTAAAAGCTTCGAATCTTGTGTTATCAGTCTATATTACCCATTACCTCTCTTTTGTCCTCTATTTCTTTAAATTAGGAATTTCTTTTTCCTTCATACACTTTATAGTACTGGTCCTGCATTAATTTTTGGCAGTAGTTTTTACACACATGTTGTTCGTCCTTCTAACTTTCCACCCTTCCTTGACCTCCAATGTCCTTGCCTTTCACTCTACCTCAGCTTCTACTCAATTCATGTCCATCCATAGTCACAGCCTGTATCTTATATACCCCAAACTAGAAGTAGGCCAATATGGACACAAAAAGTCTGGCTCACCACCTATTTTCATAAAGTTTTATTGGAACACAACCAAGCCCATTCATTATATATGCATTGTCTATGACTTGATTTGCACTGTGATGACAAAGCTGAATAATTTTTTAAAAAACTGGTCTGTCAAATCTGTTTATAATCTGTCACTTCAACAAATGGTTTTCCAACCATGTATTGAATCAAAACTGCCACCATTCCATAATCTCAGCCTTGTGCATCCCTCTGACTATCACTTTCCATCTTTCTAACCTATTCTCCACTATTAAACTACTCAACTGTAAGTTCTACAATGACAGAAATTTCTGTCTTCCTCCCTCTTTCCCTCTTCCCTCCCTCTTTCCCTCCCTCCCTCCTTTTCTTTCTTCCTTCCCTTCTTCCTTCTTCCCTCCCCCTCTCCCTTTCCCTCCCTTTCCTTCCTTCTTTCTTCCCTTTCCTTCATCCCTCTCCTTCCTCCCCCTCCTTCCTTCCTTCCTTCCTTCCTTCCTTCCTTCCTTCCTTCCTTCCTTCCTTCCTTCCTTCCTTCCTGCCTCCTCCCTCCTTCCTTCCTTCACTTCCTTCCCTTCCTTCTTCTGTCTAAAGCTCCCCAAACAGTGTTGGGTACATTGTAGACACCTACATAAAATTTTTTGAATAAACAAGTGTAGGTAATGAGACAGCTGGAGTATGCACTGCTGTTATTAAAACATAGTTTGAAAAATGTTTTACTTTTGTTCATTTACACATGGCTTAGTAAGGTAGAAATATTTGTTTATTGATTCAAAAAGTATGCATTTTTCTTTTTATAGTTTTGGGGGATTGAACTCAGGGCCTTGCACTTTCTAGGGAAGTGCTCTACCACTTGAGCCCTGCCCCCACTCCTATTTTTGCTATTAGTTTGTTTTTCACATAGGGTCTAATGATTTTGCCTGAACTAGCAGGCAAATAGAATAGATCACTATTCTATTCCTTCCACCACCCTAGTAACTGGGATTATAGCAAAATATATTTATTGATAACATACTCTGTATGTGCACCTTTCAGGAAAGAAGAACACAGAGAACTGATGGATGAACCAGGAATAAAAAAAAAAGAAAAATATACTTCAGGGAGCACATGTCCTTTTGGTGAGAAGCATGCAACATGTACACAAAGATAAATAAGATAATTTCAGATTCTGACTGGTGCTGCAAGGAAAAAAGAAGATGGAAGGGGTAGGGCTGTAGAATGAGAAGTGATAAGATGATAGGAGAGGCACCTCCAAATAGATGACTGTTGAGATCTCAGTGAAAAGAAGCCAGGTTTTCAAAACAGAGGACAGGGAAAACCAGATAAAGAGAAGAACAAATGCAATGGCCTTGGCATAGAATTATGTGTGCCACCCTAGAAGCACATATACATTTTTACTGAAGTGGTCAAGGAACAGAATATAACAAAATGTAGCTGAAGTAGTTGACAGAGGATCACATGGAGGTTTCACCAAGGCAAGGTGAATAAAACTTATGTTACCTTACCTTAGGGAATGAGATTCTCTCTCCATAACTCTATTGTGCATCTATAAACAGGGGAATACTAAGATTTATGTTTAGGAAAGATGACAATAGCTATTTTGAAGAGAATGGACTCGTGAGGCAGGGAGAGGAAGCAGGGGGACAAATTAGGAGACTATGGAAGAATCAAGGCTACAAATGATGGTGTTATAGACCAGGAAGATAGTGACAAAGGGACAGTGAGACATGGGAAGGCTTGGGTCTTATTTCAGAGGAAAGACTAAGCCTTACTGTTGGATTGGAGGAGACCAGCAAGGAAGAGAAGGGTCCAGGATAACTTATGTGAGAAAGACAATTCTGTTCACACTATTAGGTCTGCAGGTGTCTAAGTTGCTTATGGTAGAAAAAGCAGGGAGCAGATCTGTGCTGAGTTCTGAGTATAGTACTATCAATTCATGCAAAAGATGATATCAACAGCTAACATGACAGCTACTAACTATTGGGTGCTGTCTGTATACTAGATAAAGCTTTTTGCTTTATCTCACTGGGTCCTTTAAACAACTCTTTCTCATTTTATAAGTGATAAGAAAGGTCCAGAAACACAGAATAGCTTCCCCAAGATCACACTGCTCCTCAGTGGCAGAGCTAGATTTGAACTCAGTACTGAACAACTTTAAGACCAAAGAGCCCAACTGTCATGCTGCACTGCCTCCTACAAGAGGAAGACTTGATTTTATCAGGCAAAATGCCCATTCACAATTCATATCACTTCACTTTCAAGTAATGGCCTCTCATTCCTGTTCCCATTGACTCTTACCTTAATGCTGTAATATAAGGAAGAATGGTAATTATCTCCGTTTTAAAGATCAGAAAGGTGGAAGATAAATGAGTTTCCAAAGTCACATAGTAAGTGAAAGGCTGGAAATCAAACCAAAGTCTAGTCTCTGGCCCATGACCTCTTTAGCTGATAATATTTGACTCAGTTAGACTCAGTTTTCTGATGGGTAATAAAAAAGGGGTGGACTGAGTGGTTTATAGCACATGCTTTGTCTTTTTAATGGCAAATGGCTGGTTTCTGGATGTTGAACCACTATTGCAAAGCTGGCTAGGACTTTCCTTAATATATTTACTCATTACTTACTCCACATGTTCCCAGAAAATTTTGGCTGACTACTTCCAAGAATTTTCTAAAAACAACATGAGGAAAAATCACGAACACTTGCATAGTAGCATTTGTTTATACTTCTTTTATATTTCATGTAGTAATCTGACCATGATAAAAAGCTCATGAAAAACCTTATTCATGCAAAATATGTGGGATGACATTATTTAACATAATGAAAAATATGCATGATGCACATTTATATATAATGGTACAACTTTATTTTGACTTTTTAAATGAATTGTTTTGGTATCATATATGTGCATATGTATGCGTGTAAGTACATATTTATTAAATATATTCTTAAGGAATTTGGAGAAAACGTTGAGTCATTGAAGATTTTAGGCACAAATACAATGATTAGAATTGTTATTTAGCATGATTACTCAAGATTATGTGCTGGTTGAGAGAATGGGGATGGTATTCGAAGTGTGAAGTAGTTAGAGGTTATAAAAATATTCTCAGCAAAGTATAATGATGCCTTGAGTTACAATTAGGACTCCCATCGTAGGGATATACAAGGAGGGTAGAGACATAAAATGTGACTGATGGCACTGATAATGTCTGTACACATATACCCAAACATTACTGATTACAGGAAGCTACTGAAATATTGTGATCAATTTTAAAGTTGTATGTTTAATTAATATAAGTAATCTAGATTATCCAGAAACCTTGATATTTAATAAACTTAATTGGAATCTTATGAAATACTAGTGATCACATTTAATCTAGTATAATTTAATTTAAAGACATTGAGTTGTCAGGAAAATCAGGTCAGATTTTCATTTCATTTGCATGTTGATACACTGTCAAAGTACTTTACATGTCATTTGTGGAGGGAGTGTGTGTATGAGTTTATCTCTGAGTGAGAGGGAGGGAGGAATAGAGGAGATAAGACAAGTTTTCACCTAAGTGTGTTGAGTTGTCTTCTAGATTTTAGCCAAGTTATTTTTTCCTTCTGTCCTGTATTAGACTAAATGGTTACTGCCTCTAATCAGGTCAGTAGATCTTTCCTTCCACCTACACCCAGGCAGAATTATGATTGTTTTGTATAGCTGATAGAGGAGTAACAAGAAAAGAAACATTTTTTTTTAAATGATGGTAATACATAGACTTCTTTAAAGCACTCTGGGTAATACCCATAGTGAACAGATCACCTGTCACGTTAATTGTTCCTGCTCAGGTGGTGTGCTCTGTGTGAAGCTTCAGTGTTTTCTAACATTACTTGATAAAATTGTTACTCACAGGCTGGGTTTACCAGAGTTTCAGCCACTCCAAGTAAAACGTATTGAGGAACGAGGTGTAAACAGGGCATGGAAGATGCAGTGTCAACTTGGCCTGAAAGAGGCTGCTCCACCAGTGGGAAGTGCTTTCTGTGTATCTCAAGGAAGCCAGCAAGGGTCACAGACAATGCCGCACAAACATTTCCAGCAACTAAAGGAAAAGAATGCAAAAGAAAAACAAAATCAAGGAAGAGTTAGAAATCAGTGAAATAAGCCACAGCATTTCTTGTACATTGGCACCAGGGGTTGTGTCCACAACAATTTTTCTCCCTTTGCAATATCCAGATGCCAGCTAACTGTGCTGTGTGGCCACCCAGAGGCTGGGCTTCAGAAAGGCCTGAATTCACTCCCCGTTGCTTGACTCACTGGCTCTGTGATCTTGTACTCGTTGCTTTAGTTGATTACCACTTTTCTGAACTCTAGGACGGGACAATGATGCTTATTTTGTAGGGTGCTTGTGAGAATTAAATAAGATAGCAGCCTGTTATTATTCTAAGGATTCCTAGTAGCAAGTAGAAGGGATTATTATTGAAGAGAAAGCAATGGGCTTAAAATTTTATCCCTAGACAAAATATATCACTCTAGATAACTTTTAAAAAAGATACATTCAAATCAAAAATGATTTTGGGGAAATTTAAAACAAAATTGTCATACAGTTTAAATTATTTAAAAATGATTTTGAAATGACTTGAAGGCATTATCAATCTTTAGTTTTTTTTTTGTCATTTTTCTGATCTTTGTGAAAAAGTATAGCAGCTATTAGATGAACTAGAAAACTTTTGTTTAGGAGAAAGAAATTTGAAGAGGTAAATTAGAAAAGTGAGAGTATACATGCCAGTAATTACTGACATAGTGGTCAAGCTTTTTCACTTTATGCAATAATTTGGTCGCAGATGAGTAGGAATTTTGTTACAGAGTTTGTACCTACTATGACCATTTTATTTCTCAATTTATCATTCATATGACTGGACTTAATCCTATTGGAGCAGAGGCAAACTTTGGCTTGATGGAATTTACTTGAAATTTAGAGATAGTCACATTTTGCTAACTTGCGTAAAATTTTAGATAAGGCAAGGCTTTCAATTCAGAAAAATCAATCTCATGTTTAAATAGCTTCGTGTTTGTTTTGGTTGATAGAGAAACTGGTAGGTAAATTTTTTGATTGTATCTCAGCATTTAAATGTATCCATGAGACTGTTCTTTACTGGTTCCCAAGAAATGGAAGGTTTAGAAAAAGAGGAAGCCTGAATAACACTTCAAAACTTAGAGGGATTTCTTATTTATTAGTATTTTAAATTTAGTTCAATAAAGGCCCATTCATAGTGAAGTAGAGAGTTATGGTTCTGTGAGCAGCTCATATAAAAGTAGGAATTTCATATGTTATCTGTCTTTAAGATAAAACTCATCACAAATTTGCATTTACCTAGATTATTTAGCATGTTATAAGCAAATCATAAATAGTACTAATATGTCAATTCAATTTAATGTTTACTCTGTTCCTGCTATACCCAACATAGTATGCTTGGTTCAGTGGGGAAAAAAAGGTGAGTGTCTGTTCTCAGTCATTGAAAATTCATATCTTATTTGGGAAATATAAAAAACAAAGGCTTATTTCTAGATAGAGAGGTGAGAGACATCATCTTATACTTTAAAGAGAGAAGAGTTCCAGTATGAAAAGGCAGAGACATTGGCAAAGACATAGAGCGGTGAGAAAAATCAGATGAATTTTTAGAATGGTGAGAAACTCAAGTTATTTGGAAATCAGAGAAGAAGTTAGATTGGGGTCCGATCATAAGAAACATTCAATACACTTTGAAGGAATTTGAGAATTACTGGTGAATGGGATCATTGAAGATTTTGGACACGAGTGAAATGACTACTATTGCCATTTAGGATAATTACTCTCAAGGTCATATGGTAGTTGATGTGCTGGATGAGGAGGTAGCAATTTAGGAATTCATAAGAATTTTCTTGGTAAAGTATATGGGGGCTTGAGTTACAATCAGGAATACCACTTCAAGGAAATATAAAGAAGGTAGGAATACAGGATGTGATAGAATCCACTGATAGCACCATAGCAAATGAAGCAAAGGAGGTGGCAGATGTGAATGCTGATATAAGTCCAGGTGACTGGAAAGATGGTAGTGACAATAATATAAAGGAGATCCATAAGTAGATACAGAAAAATAAGAACTTAGTTTTAGGTTGAATTGGAAGTGGAAAGGGGTCATCTAAATAAAACTGCTCATAAAAAAAATTGAAAATATGAATCATAGCTCAGGAGATTAACACTAATGACTCATCTATGTAGAGTGGGATGTTGGGGTCAGGTTAAATTGGAAGCGGATTGAAAAAGAAGAGAAAAGAATGTTGAAGTGATGCCTTCAAATGTGACTACATTGGGGGTATGAAAAATAAGTGAAAACTACTGAAATAAGGATGGAAAGATAGGTAGTGTCCAAGTGAAGGCTTCAAGGAGGAAGACAAAACTGATCTTTGGATCTTTTCCTTAAATTTTTCTCCTCCACTTTTACCTATCTTTTTCAAATTCCTCAGATTTGGAGATAAGATCCCTTGTCTTTCTCCTTATCTCCACACAGTTCTGCAGATTCTATTTCCAAAATATAAACTAATCTGTCTCCCTCTGTAGTGACTGCCTTCATTCTAAGCCATCAAAACCATGTCACTCTCATCATTTTTTTTGGCAGTATTAGGGTTTGAACTTAGGACCCTGTGTTTGCTTTTGCTAGGCAAGTGATCTATAATTTGAGCCACACTTGTGACATTTTTTGTTTTAGTTATTTCTCAGATAGGATCTTGCACATTTTGCTTGGGCTGGCTTCAGACCATGATCCTCCAGGGCAGCTGAGATTACAGATGTGTGCCATCATACATGGTTTATTTGCTGAGGTGGGATCTCACTAACTTTTGCTCCAGCTGGCCTTGAAATGAAATCCTCCCAATTTCCACCTCCCAAGTAGCTGGGATTACGTGTCTGAGCCACTGCATCCAGCCTTTACTCATATTTGCACCATACTTACAACTATTGGTCTTCGTCAGTAATGACTTACAAATATTTGAAATAAAATACTTTTGGTATGTTCATTTGTCTCATACTAGTTTCATTTACTTGACTATAAAGTTCATGAGAACTGGAATGAAATTTTTTTGCTCTTTACTACCAAGACAACTGTCCAGGTTCACAGTAAGCAACACACAAACACATATGGATGCATATATCAGTAAATAATCTCAGAATTAAACATTTTGTGGGATAGAAGATAATGAAACATGTGACAAGTCAACTGTATTGATAATGGAATATCAGTTACCTATTGCTTTCAAAAGAACTCCCATGGCAAAACCAGAAAGCAAGGGGTTGGAGCATCAGTAAGTGGTGAGTATGTGTAGTGTCATATAATCTTCTAAGAAGTTTGATGTAAAGAAAAGGAGAAAGTTAAACAATTTGCTTAAGAAGTTAGCAGGATCAGAAGACACTGATTTGTAAGATGTGGAAGACTTGTTCACGTTTCTGTGCAGAGGAAAGTAGCAAAGACAGATAGGAAAAACTGAAGATCTAAGAACAAGAAGTAAATATGGAAATGTCCTAAAGTAGATGAGAGAGGGGAAAGGATTGAGGGTCCAAAATGTATAATCACAGCAAACAATGGAAAAAAATCATTCTTAAAAGAAAAGAAATGTACAAAATGTTTAGAATACAGAGAATGTTGAGGAAGAGAAAACTGAATGTGAGGTGATACATACTATATGATCTTAATCTTGCAAATTAGAGAATAGTTACTTATGGAGAGTGAGTGTATGGGTATAAAATGGAGAGAACCAGAAGGGAGAAGTCTCAACAACTTCTGCTGATGGGCTTAACTAAAGATGAGAGTCCATGGTGAAATTGGAGTTGGAGGATATGATTTGCAGCTAATGTTATTGGTCCCATTTCTGCCTTACAGTGCAAATCTGAACTATCTCAGATAATGGGCAGATAACTCAGTACTTTTCCCGTTATATGTGGTTTTGGTAATTGATACATAATTAGAGTAATATTCAACTATTCAATTTTGTTTAGAGAATTTAAGAGAGAGAACAAGATGTTGGAGCATTTTCATTTTTAATAAAAATTGCAAAAATTCTTTAACAATTGCATTCTTCAATTCATGATTAATTAGAATTACGAGCCTAAAATTATCTTTCTAATTGAAAAGTCTCTACCATCAGAGCTGAGGATGACTCATATTAGCTATGGAATTGTGGACAAGTCACTTTACCTTAAGGAGTCCCATTTACCTTACACAAAATTTGACACTAGCTAGCATGTAAAGGTTAAAGTTCATTGCAAGTTAATATGTGAAGATGGTATTACCTAATATGGTGGTATTTGTTATCAGCTAATATATGTAAAGGTGAAAGTTCTTTGTAAGAACTATACAAGCATATGATAGCTTCAAGGACCTGGTCTACAATAAAAGTAGATATTTATCTGTGTTCCAATATAAAAAAAGAGTATGAAAACTTCCATTTAAGAAGTCTGATTCACTATATAACTTTATCTTTTTCCTCTGATTCCATTTAAAGGATGGGAAAAACATTAAAAAGGTAAAAAGAGAGAGGGAAAAGAGAGAGAGGAGAAAGAGAAGAGAGAAGAGAGGGAAGAGAGGGGAGAGAGGGGAGAGGGAAAGAGAGGAGAAGGGAGAGAAAAGAAATGCTGTGGACAAGAGACTGAAAAAATGCTTGGAAATTAGAAAGAGAATTGGTACCTGATTTAGCAACAAAAGCGGGAATTACAACCCAAACTACTGATGAAGGAGAGACTTATGAAATATGACTTTAGTCATTTCAAGAATCTTTTAGTAGTGTATGACTTGGGGGCACCAGGTATCCTGGAGGGTGAGGCTAAGACTCTTAAGAAAAGTGGGAAGATGATTGAAATTCTGTATACTGAGCAGTGAAATTCTCAAATCTCCACTTCTACCTCCAGTCTCTGCAAGAGACTGATTACTGTGCACAATGAGTTTGAACTTGCATTTGCTAGGAAGTTGCTCTACCACTTGAACCATGCCCCCAGCCCTGTGTAGAATTTAAACAGTGATGACATTAGACTCAAGGAGTTAGGGTGATGCTGAAAATGGGAAAGTGGTA